TAATTATTTCGAGGCCTTCCACTAGCAATTGTAAAATCGAGCAACAAAAAGGCACGATGACAATGTTTTATGCATTAGCAAAGAGAGATCCGACACCAGAGTGCTAAGTACAGTTTGGGGGAAGTCACTGAAGGACAAGAGCACAAGTGCGCAGGCAGCAGACAGACAGGATCAAAACTCGAGGTGTCGACCAGTCACATACGACTTTCAAATGTCGCGATAGAAATATGGAAAAGATGAAGACACGGTAAAATATTTGCAGCGAGTTGAATTTAAACTTAAAATAGCACTTGACCTTGTGAAAAGCGTATACCCAAATGGGACTTATGAGTGCAATTACAGCCAATGCCTGCTGCTAGAAGGCAGTTTTATTTGGAAATTTTTAAATATATAAGTGGAACACAAGTAACTTTTGTCAGAAATAGGAAGAGTGACAATATTGAGCTAGATGAATAACTAAGTAATCACCGATCGTGCAGTTGTTTCCGGGAAACATGTATTACACACATACTTGAAGCCTCTATAGCCCTCTGAATCGGTTAGTAATGTCAAAGAGCCTATAGCAAAAGACCCATTAATGAAGCACAGAAAGCGCTCAGATGCCATCCTGACACGAATACAATATCATCTACCAGAAATGCAATCTGTGGAGGTTTGACCACCTTGGAGGCCGGATGCATGGATGAACAAGCCGTTAAAGCACTGCGAATCTTCATCAGCATTCACCAAGTAAATTGCACTTTAAAAATGCCGCGTACATGAGTCTTCCCACTTATTGAATTTGTTTTGTGATCATATACTTTGGGATTGAAAAGAACTTTGTTCTCAGCCTGCCTGAAACGGGATAATCCCCTCCTCCCATCACTTGCATGTATAGTCTTAAGGCAGCGGACTATAATGAACTGCTGGATAAGAAATGCATTCATTTATTGACACTTTGTGGATAAATCACTCATTTTGGTCACATGGCTGTCGGCACTTTAGCCTATAGTAGAGGTGGATTCGGTGCTGCATGCTTACTTGATTACTACCCTCGTATATGCACCGAATGCAGTTTCTCCGCCAAATTTTTCATTTGGTATACTGCAAAAGTTACTTCACTGGTCATAGATATCCTTGCTTCGTTTATGTGACCACATAGTGTTTGGTGGTCACTTTAGGGTTCTCCTGACCCTTGTACTTGTGGGCCGGCCTTCGGGCCATGCG